TCTTGTGTAACTCAAATAAAAGTATTTCTGTAGTATACTCGTTTCATGTGAATAAGCCTCTAACACTCCGTAAGCATTGCGCCCGCACAGTTCTATTGTCCACCCATTCGCACTTTTCCAATATGAAAGGACTTTTTATAGAAGTTATTTTCATTCCACTACAATGTTTAACCCTGAAATTCTACCACGATCCAATTGCCGTCAGTAAAATTGCAGTACGGGACATTAGTAAAATTTTATTACAAAAAGTGTTATACATGTAATTTCATTTTTTTAAAATTTGATTTGAGTTTTTTGTCTCTCAAGATGGTTAAAAAAAAAGAGTAGGTTTTCTCCTCAAAACGGCTTTCATAATTGTTTATACAAATGAGATTTGTTTTTATGCAACTGCTCACGATTATATTGTCAGTGCCTCTAGATCAGTTAAACATAAACTGTTTAATTCCATGATGTTCCATAAAACTTAAAAGACAAAAAATATGACATGCTTAATGAATTTCCACAGCCTTCTTGTCGACGTTAATGTTAGTATGTGAACATTATGTGATTGTAAAATAAAACAAATGAAATACTGATGGGGGAATAACTGCAAGGTGAGAAAATAAAAAGTGGCGGAGCAGCTTTCATTGAAACTAGAAAACCGCTGTGATTATGATTTTAAGAGAGGTTTTGCATGGGAGTGTATTTGTGTCACGCATAATAGTACGGCAGATAGGTGATGGGATTGTGCCTTTGATGATACAAGCATGGCATTTTGTCACACAGAGTATGTCATGAGAAAGATATTTGGCTATCCACTCCGTTCATAAGTACCCCCTCATCGGCAAAGAAAGTACAGTTGGGGTTGACCGAATGACGTCATCTTGCCTGAAGTGCGGCCACTGCGTGTACATAGTACAAATCCCCTGGTGTACGTGCGTCACACACAAGGAACGGTGCGCGCGCGTCAACCAGCGAAAAGTATGTGTCCCGCCCATGGGACATTGTTGCTAGGTAAAAGGGCGCCCTCCTTATTAACGCACGGAGCCCATAGGGCCATAGCGGATTGTCCTTTGAAAAGATAGAGGTAGAATAACAAGCAATGACAGCCATTTTGAACATTTTGAAAATTTCTTGTTATTGTACCTATATTTTTTCAAAGGACAAATCTGCAACGGCCCTATAGCCAAATATCTTTCTTAGGACATACTGTGTGCCAAGCCAAATGCCATGCTTGTAATATCAAAGGCGCAATTCCCCCAAATCTTTCCTGTATCTGCCCCACTATAAGCTTAGGAAGCCTGTACAGATTTTGGCAACGAACAGTAGAGATAGGGCTTTTTGACTGCTTTTGAGAGCGAGCTGTAGGCGTATGGCCCCAATGCATACAATTATGTCTCCCACTGCTATGTCTATGGTCCCTCCCAATTCTCTCTTTGTAACCATTGAGGGGGTACTTGTGCACAAGTCTATACACCATGGTCCCTCCGAACTCTCTCTTTGTAACCATTGAGGGGGTACTTGCGCACGGAGTCTTATACACCTTGCTTGCAGTTGCACTGCATTCTGAGTACGACGAATAAACCAGGCAATTCATACGCAAACCTATGGGCTCCGTGCACAAGTAGCCATGAACGGTAAGAAAGGGAGAGTTGGAGGAGACCACTGGGAGAGACATTCAAACGCATTTCTGAATATCTAACACTCGTGTGTAGACACTGTGGCTTTGTGCAGATTCGAATAAAATTAGTCTTGCGTACTTCGCGCCATACATGTGCGCGAACCAGTACGCACACGCAGTGTGTCCCACTGGGCTCTTGAAAGTGGTTAAAAAAGCGCCCTCTGTTGTCTGCGCACAGAGCCCTTAGGACGATAAAGCCACTCACAAATGTTTCTGCTCCTCATCCAGAATTAAGTGATCATTGGAAAAGATAGAGGAAGTATGGATAGAGGCTCACATAAGAAAATTACAAAAATTTGGCTTTGTCCAGGCATTCACCTTATCCTCCGATCCGCAAATTTCCTTGTTTTCTACTTCTCATGAATGCCATTACAAAAATACTGTACAAACCCTCATCGAATTCAGACAGAAAATAAACATGTTTTGATTCTGTTTGAAACACGTTTTTTAAAAACAAATCTGTTCTTAAAAAACATGTTTTATTTGGTTGGATTTCGCCACCTCAAAAAACAGGGAAAAAATAAAACAGTTTAAAAACATGTTTCAAACCTGGTTTTTTTAACCATAAAATATGTTTTATTCCTGTTTCAAACACGTTTTTAAAAAACAATTCTTTTTCAAAAATGGTTATTAAAAGAAAACCGTTTTTGAAAAATAGTTGTTTTAAAAACAACTAAGGCTAAATTGCTGGTCAGGGAACCATGCATAGTCAACTAGCTGTTGATAAGAATCCCGTAACAATAGCAGTTAAAAATCATGTGAAAGCAGGCTGCCGTAATGATTACAGTCGGCTCCCGTTATAACGAGGTCCGATGGACTTTCACAATACTGTCGTTATAGCCGGAACCTCGCTAAAACCGGAGCGCAGTTTTCCCCATTCGTTGTGCACAAGGTACGGTACATGTGCGTGCGTGTTTTAATCGTGTAACGCACGTCCGAAGACATGAAAAGATGGTCATTTGTTGGTATGTACGTCTGTTATTAATGTATATTAAATATTTAACTGATAGTGATGAATAAATGAAATAAATAAAATACCTTTAAGGGAACATTGTTCAATATTTGAGGACCTGAATCCGGAGGAAAAGGCATCATCGCTGAGAAGAATCAGGCAAGTAGGTCACTCGCACAAATCGTGCCGAGTGACATTTTGCTTTCATTTTGCATTTGCTGGAATCGGGCAAGAGAGGGCGCCAATACATGCATTACTTCCGGGTTTTAATGACTCCTGATCCTTAGATGCCTTTTGGTTGTTGACTTTTTGGAACAGTTGGGTATTATTGTTTCTGAAGGGATTCTTTGAAACTGTAATTATTTCGGTTAACTATAGCGCACATTCGTGCCAAGTGACATTTTGCTTTCGTTTTGCATTTGCTGGAATCGGGCAAGAGAGGGCGCTAATATTACTTCCGGGTTTAAGTGTCTCCATGTGTAATTTCGCAGCAATTGGTGATTATTGTTTGTCGGGAGGGATTCTTTTAAGATAATAATAATAAATAAACAAAAGTAATAATTTTGGATTAAATTTGGACAATGTATATATGGTGGGGCGTTTGAAGATCTTGGAAACCTGTTTTCATTGGGATTGTTTTTTCAGCGGGGCCGGAGGGGTTCTTAATTTGTTTAAGATTTTAATTTTTTTTATTCTTCGGATTCTTTTTTGGTGGTGGGAACCACGGTATGTTTTAAACTTTATTTTTTGAAGACAGACTGAATTATCTCTTTTTGGAAGTTGTGGTGGCTCTGAAAAGAGCCGTTTGTTTTGTGATGCTGTGTTCTTTACTTCGTATTTTTTTTTTATAGCCACAAGCCAACAATAGGGAGCAATTACGCACCCGATGTTCGGGCGGTAGTACTGTAACTAAAGGCTATTCCTTACAATGTTAACACTTAACTCCTGAGCGCCCCCTATTGTTAGTTTGTAATAATATAGAAACGTGGTACCGCAGTCGTAAGCAAACTTCAAGCCTGGTCACGCTAAGGGAAACCGCAGCGGGGGATTAGCGACTAGACCAGCGGTCCACTGCGCCGATTATCACAGTCCCATTGAATTTATTTATAAAGATCGGCGAGATGAAATAACGTTGGGTTGAAGTCTTTACAAAGGTACATTGATGGGTGAAGCTTAAGTGTGTTGCTTGAATTGGAAGACGGGAGCATGATGCCTGTTTCGGGACAAAAGGTCTGTCGTTGACAAGCTGCAATGCCCGTAGTTTTGAAAAGATGTCGTTGTAAATGGTTGAGAACAATGCTTTTCCTCGCATTGGGTCAGCCAAAATCGTCGTAATAGCCGAAGTCTCGTTATGTCCGTGCACGTAATAACCAAATATTTCCCCATAGTAATGTACACAAATTGATCGGGACTGGGAGAATGTGCTTGTTACATCCGGGTTATCGTTATGACCGAGCTCGTTATAACGGGAGTCGACTGTATACCTACAGCATTCTAAAATGGCAGAAAATAACAAGATCAACTCAATCTATGTTATCTAGCTAATCCAAATGGTACATGCATAAATACAGAAACTTACCATGCAACTATGGTTGATGATAATTGCACTCATTCTCTATGCATATCTGTGCATGCAACAATCCAGGCATAAATTTACACGCACCATGACTTGCCAGATCACATCAAAAATTCAAAGTACTGGCTATAAAACCAGACAGATACTAATCCAATAGTTGTCTATAACACCACCCCAACATACTGACAGCTACTTGTGTGCAAAAGACAAAGAGTACAATCACAAATTTGATGCAATTATTCCTGACTACATGTCTGCCTGTCCTATGCCCACTACAGTACTGATTCAAATTGTAACTGAAATAAAATTTTCCATACACCCAGTACATGCATGAGGTCACCAAAGGTCAAAGGAAGTAGTGCACTCTGGGTAGCATATGCCTTTCCAGAAAACAGAACGAAAACAACCAGAAAACAAGGAAAAAACAGTCTGGACATTGATGTATCAATTGGTTAGCCCAATACTTTTCAAAAAAATTCTAAGTCCCCAAAAAACAGTACTAAAACAGACATTTAGCTTACAATATTGTTTTAGGCTCCACCAAAACAGCAAAAGAACAGTGCAACATCGTTAAAAACATCCTTAAAACATGTTTTTATCCTGTTTTGTTGTGTGAGTCACAACAAAACAGAATAAAAACAAAATGTCATCAAATAAAACAGCCAGGAAACAGTTGGTGGAACATACTCATTTTCAGGAAACAGGGAAAAAATGTATTTTATTCCTGTTTTCTTACCTAAAAACAGGGAAAAAACGTGTTTTAAACAGAAATAAAACAGGAATTCTTCAACAAAATTCGGTGAGGGAAGTCTTGTGTGGATTGGAATGTCCTTGTTTTTTTCTTCTAAATTCCCAGTTGCATGCCTGTTTGTCCCACTGTGCTGCAATATGACAATTTGTGATTTGAGGCTCATTTTGTGTTGTTGGTCTTTGGATATACATGTAATTCATGAATGTACATTTTTTAGCAAGTGACAGCACCCAACCCATGCCGAGAGCTCTTCCATCATCTGTACTTCTCTAGCCATTTCAGCGTGTCCTCCGTTTTTCCTGCAACCGTAAGTGAACAAAAAGAAAACCAAACTCAGTAAAAAAAAATAGGGGTGACATTTTTTTAAGGCAAAAATAAGAGGATGTTTATTTGAACATTACTTATTCAGTCCATGGTTTCTGACTAGCACCCCTTGAACAAAATGGGGAACCGCCAACATACGGCTGGATAGCTCAGTTGGTAGAGCACTGGAATCGTCATCCAGAGGTGGCAGGTTCAAACCCCATTCCAGTCAAATTCTTTGTTCAACTTTGAAAATTATTCAGGTCGTGATAGAGCAAGGAAGAGGGTTGTTCCATGTTCAGTCAGACGTTATCTTTTAGCTTGATTGAATATGATTATTGACATGCTGTTGTGATGAATATAATTTTACACCCAGATTTGTACAAGTGCAGTAGAAAAGTGTCTGGTTCAAAAAAATTTGTTCAGGTCACTGCAAGAGAGTGCTGTGGCCTTTAACGTGAACTCAAGATTGCGTGGGAAAATCTGCAGATTGTGGGTTCGAGTCCAGTCCATGGAGTTGTGGTGTGTCCTCAGGCAGGACACTTTGCCTTAATAATTGCTTCTCTTCACACAGGAGATCGTTTGAATCATCCATTTGTGCCAAAATGGCAGCATCAAGCTGTACAGGGTGTCCCTAAAAAATGTCCCTCTAATAATAGGGTTGTAGCAAAATTCAGAGTTGTAGCAAAATTCAGGGTTGAAGCAAAATTTCCATCGGATTTGGTTTACCATTTTTTCCAAATAAAGGCTATTACGTAACACAGTACTATTTTGCATCATTCCAAGTTTAACATTTGAATAAGTGGCTTTGTGATTAAGTTACTAAACTAAACAGGAGGAATACTATTGTTGCCACTTCTCATTGTTGACTGTAGTTATTTGTTACGTAATATCTTCTTTAATTATAACAAAGGAGTGTCTCAAACCATTATGTTAAAATAAATCACTTGCAGAGAAACACATTTCTGGGATGGAGCTTGCCCAAAAAGTGGTGCAGCAACGCGGCTTTTTTTTTTACCGTTTTTTTTTCTTCAAATGTCGGCTGATGACTGCAAATGGTGCCCGACTAAACTTAGTGCAAATATACGGGAGTCCAAAGAGGCCACTTAAAGCTTATTCTCGATCGTAACCCCATCTAAAAACACATTAAAATTGTGCAGCAGCAGGATTCCAGTCAAACCAGTGAGTTTGGCAGTTTTGAGACATCATCTTTCTTTGAAAAAAAAAAACGTTTTCATTTTGCCGACGCGCATGGCTACGGCGACGCGCGCGCATACCAGAAACCGGAGACTTTTTTTTGGCCTAATGACCTGTGTTTCAAAACCACCAAACCAAATCCAACAAAACTTGACTCAAGAAAGAAAAATGTATGGGCTCATCAATTCTTTAATTGAATTTGAGAATGTTCATAAATTACGAGAATTCTGATACACCCTCCAGAGGGACCTTTTTTGGGGAGGTCTGATGATCGAGCGGGGTAATAATGATGTAAACTTTGATCTTTAATGGTAAAAGTGATTCATAAAATTACTATCAAGGCCGACTCAGTAAAAAAAAACCCACTATTTAAGAAAATAAGCACATTCCTACCATGAGCTGGTATGTATTCCGCACCCATCCAGCCGTCATATCCAAGGCTCTCGAGGTAAGAAAGAATGAAACCATAGTTCACTTCACCATCTGCACTGGGTTCATTCCGATGGGGAACCTGGGCCATTTGCATGTGACCTACAAAATAAACCAACCAACAAAGACAATACAAATATTGACAGCTGGTATGACTGACAGATTAACAGGTTTGTGTTCCGTGTACAAATTAACCCGGGAACATCATATGCATAACCTTCCAATGTAAGATTTTTTATTTCAGACATTTTGTACTGACATTTTTATTAAGGGTAACGCTCTCCTTTCACGAGAGTAAGTTTTTTTGTTTTCATTTTGTTAAGTCTTACCGATGTAAGGGAAGAACTCTTTGATGGTGTTGGTGATGTTTCCTTGCATCATTTGGACATGGAATAAGTCCTGAGGATTAGCCACAAATGAAGGCAAATCAAATATATAAACATCACACAAATTGAAATCTGCATACATATGGTATGTTTTTATCACATGTCAAAATTGTGAATAATTCACTTTGTTATTAATACACACCCTCTTGCAACAAAATTCTGCTTATAGTGAACATAAATCCTCGGTCCCAACTGTGCATTTCTATGCACAATTAATGGGACCAGTGCTCCTTTTGACCCTAACAGAACTCAACCCATCAAACCGCAACGGCATGTTTTGTTGAAATCTGTCAGGATGGGTACAATACCCCTAAACTGACAGTACTTTACATTGGGTTAAGTCAGAAATATGTGTGTACAGTTTCCCATATGATGTTGGAATTTGCCAGGATGGGTATGGTTCCTTGTAAATCATGCTACGGGGTTACAAAATACAAAATTCAGATATAAAAACCATTTTGCTAGGTCTAGGTGAGTTTGTATTAACCGGAATTGACCAGGGGGGGGGGGGGGTAGCTAACAAGCACTCACCATTTGCAACTTCAAGTTTGGATGGCCAACCTTTTTGATAATTTCAACACCTAACAGAAAAGTTCAACACAATATATTCACGTTTAATAATGAATTTAATCATACATTAATAATTAAACAAACAAAAGAACATACAATATACATGCATACAAGCCTAGCATGCAAAAGAACAACTGCAACAGTTTGCTTTTGCTGTAATTTTCAGAAATGGATGGATTTGGGGGTTATCATTTTGTAGCAAATATTGTTATGCTGACCAGTTTAGGTTTTGTGTTCACAGATTCTGGAAAAACCTAGAAAAATATGTTGTTCTTGTAGTCTGGTTCCCTGACCAGGGAATTGTCAGGTCAGGGAACCAGACTAGCTAGCTTGCACTTGTTCACAGATGTGTAACCGATTGTAAACAAAATGTGGACTATATATAACTAAATTTGGTAACTTGAGGGGTAGTTGAGGAGACTAGAAAAAAATTCAGTTTTTCCAACGATGGTTGGCCAACCATCGTTGGAAAATGATACAAAAACTCCACTTTTTCTGGAATGTGACAGCACATCAGGTGCCATGAATTCACAGGTTGCTTGAGACTATTATTCACTTACAGTCCAGTAAGGTATTCATCATAATTTTGTAGTTTTGTTTTTTGATGTTTGCAATTGTTGTATGTTACCTTTAAAACTGGTCTGCAACCAGCTTTACTAGACTTGCATAGTCTCGTATTGTACTTTTAAGATATTCTATACTTTAAATTTGCAATGACTTCAGAGTCAATTAATCTGTAAAAAAATAAATAAACTTTAATAAAAAAACAACAACCCAGAAATGAGTTAACGATTCGCATACCTTGGTCTTGTCGACTGAGGAAGTACCCCGGTCTGGATACAACTGTGTTGATTGGTTCAATGAGTGCCAAGATTCCATCCTAAAAATAGGTAAACAAAAACATTGAGAAATCATCAATTTAATTTTTCATTAAAGTTGTTCTACCAATGCTCTTCAACATATTCATTTTGTTCTTCTTGTATCAAAATTTCCAATCTGTATGTTTTATTTAAATGTAAAAAGGTTACTTTTGTCTATTTTGGACATTTTCAACCATCTGAAAATACACTTTCATTTTGGGGTGGCATTTGTACCCATTACTCCTGAATAATTAATTAAAAATGATTCAGAAATGTGTACATTCAATTTTCCATAACTGAATACGGGCAGTTTTTTTGTTCAAGATGTCTCATTCAAAAGTAAAAAATAACATTTTTAAAACAAAATTTATTTTCAGGGTAAAACTCAAAAACGGCACGACAAGAAAATTCAATATTGGGTTTTGCCCTTCACCGACATATTTTTTTTAACAAATAAACACTGTATAAATAAAAAATGTGTACATTAAAATAGCCCATAACTGAACAAAGGCGGATTATTTGTTCAATGTCTCATTCAAAAGTGAAAAATTTGCAGACATTAGTTTTCTCTGAGGAGAAAACTTTAATGTCTGCAAAAATAGCAATGACCTCATTTCAATAATTCTAGATGGTAAAGTCATGGCTGTTTCTATACTACACCAAAAATAGTGTTCATTTTTGTTTGTATTTTTGTTTTGTTTTGTTTTTGTTTATTTGTTGTTTTTACCTTATTGAGCCTTTCTGCCGCATACTTGAGATTGGACAGAAAAGTTTCCTCCATTTTTCTCAGCAGTGCTGGCCTCTCGCCCTCTGTGCAGTCTGGTGTCACGCCTGCCATGACATGCATCCTGATAAAAATAGATGTGAGATTTATCTGCATAAACTGTAGTAAAGGAGACATGGACTGGTATGTATAAATTAAAGGTACAGTCCATCATTTGTTGAAAAGCATACTTGGTTTAAAGATAGTAATGGGACTCAACTCCCTGTGAAATTATTCTTTCTGGCAAGCTGTCATTTTAAGGAAATCAATGAAAGAAGGCCTTTCCAACAATACGTCTAAAGATGCATCGTTGGAAATTAATTTTCCGTCAGTTTTTCCGTGTTTTTTTTAATCGGTGAAGCGCGCGCACGTGCTGACACGTTTTCAATACCTAAAGTTTTGGGACTGTCATACAAAACACAGTGTATTTGAGAGTCCTAAATTTTCAGACAACCATTGAAGCAATATTTCACAGAGTGTGTTTGGCCAATTTTTTAGCTTGATGTGCACAAAAACCGTGACATCTCTTGGTCCATCTAGATCTTGCAAAGTGTTCTACCTTTTGCACTTCAATGCTGTGCAGTATTTAATGGACAATTCCAGAGTCTCTTGAAATTCCTTCTCTCGGCCTGGGACAGCTGCCAGTCCAAGATCTCCGGCCTTTACATCACCTAAGGAAAAACAAACATAGGCCACACAATTTTACCACCTCAAGAAGCATAAACAAAATAAGATGGGCAAGACTGTATAAAGACATGAAACATTCATAATATACAGTTCCCATTAAGCACAAGTAACTTTTCAATTTGTATTTATGATACTGTTACACCCAAACAAGTGGGCTATTAAAATGAAATATATATCATTTGCATCCACTTACCACATCCCATTAAAGGTAGAGTATATCATTTGTCATTTGAGCATTTTGTTCGTTTGAAGCAACAAAAAATGCTTAAAATCTAAAGAAGGGTACTTAACAACTAACCTGATGAAGTTTTAGCTCAGTGAATGCTGTATATTCCAAGAAAACAATATTCAAGGATCTCGATAGCAATTCAAAAGTTGCCGAGTCATGTTTTGAATTGTGACCGAGATCAGCGTCCGGGGCATGCGTTCTCATTCAGCCGATTGCAGCTACGCGGTGTCACGCACTGAAACGACAAATTATAGCTACCGCACGCGCATGTGCGTCATGTCAATGCCTGCGTGCACCCTTTCACAGCTTCGCTGAATAAAAAATGAACTAAAGTTAGCTAACGGAAATTTCCAAAACTGTGTCTTTAGACACATCTTTTGAAATGACCTTCTATTATTGTCTTCTTCAAAATGACAGCATGCCAGAAAGAATAATTTCAAAGGGAGTTTAGTGCCATTACTATCTTTTATTTTAACCAAGTATGTTTTTAACAACAATTTTGTCAGTTACTTCTTTGATCTCTCATAGCTGCAAATGATGTACTTAGCCCTGGTGGACTCCCTTTCCTCCCTATGTTATTGCAATGAAGACTTCGTCCAACCTGGGCTAATGATATACTCTACCTTTAAAACTAGGCTACCATACAAATTTCACAAAAGGTAATTTATATTACACAACAGCAACTTCAAAACGAAAAAAGTTGTAAATACATGAGCTTCAATAATTATAATTAAAATGTATCCCAATGAGTACGACACAATGTCAAAACTGTCATTAAAATGTTAATAGATAAAACTTAAAGTTATTTGAATCCTAACTTGAAGAAAGACTGAACAAATAAATGTAATGAAAAATGAAGGGGAAAAAGCCTCAGCCTTTGCCAAAACATTTTTTTCGGACGCAAATCTTTAAATATTTTAATATTATGATTATTCTAGCATTGAATTAATGACCCAAATTCTTCACCTGGAAAAGAGTTGATTAAAACCTGTTGCAGCCCTTCCTTCTCTTTAACCTCGACGAGCTTCTCGACCGGGCACTCGTACGGGAAGCTGACTTCCACCGCCTGGAAACCCGCTCGCTTCGCGGCCGAGTATCTCTCGGCCAAGTCGGGAATCTCTTTGAACAGCATGGACAAGTTGGCGGCAAACTTTAGAGGCATTTTTGAAATGGTAGAAATTGAAATAAATCTTGCAAAAGTAGGCCAACGTATTCGCGAGGTCAAAATGTAGCATTTGACAATTAGTGACAATTTGGTTTCGAGACAGACGAGCAGACGAAACGTCGAGGGGGAGGTCCTCCCATTTTTTTTTGTAAACAAACAAACAGCTGATTATTGAACTTTGAACCCCATTGGAGGAAAGTTTGTTTTTTAATTACTTAATTTTAGAATATAATTTATTATTTTATTTCATAAATAACAGGACATACAAAATTCACTTCGTGGAAATGATTTTTCAAAACGTTTTATTAGTGTTTTTTTTAAACAGTAAACAGTAAAAAGAATGATCTTTACAAGAAAAATATATTGTAAGTATGTGAAACAGCCAAACAATGGCCGCCCACAGTAGCCTTGGAGGTTTTGGTTGTGAATGTTGACAAATTCTCTGTTTTTGTCGCTTTTGGGAGGAGATTCCTGGGTAGGAGTGAAGTGTCATCAAATTCAGTTAGATTACTCTTATCTTTAATTTAAAAAATGCACAATTTTACAGTTATTTCCGGTCTCAACGAGCAGATTTTGATGTGTGAGACTGAGAAGCGGCCTTGAATCGGGTGTGGGTCATTGTGGGTAGCTGGAGTTAAGGCCCAGCCCTGAGTTTTATCATTGGGTTGTCTATTAGGGCTGGAGCTAGTTTTTCTCGTAAACGATAGTATAGGCAAAAAATTTTGGAAAATGTTCAATTTTGTCCCCGTTACACACTAATTGCAACTGCAACTCACCCCAAACTTGCCTGGAATTAGCTGGAGTTACCCAGCCCTGAGTTTTATCATTGGGTTGTCTATAAGGGCTGGAGCGAATTTTTCTCGTAACTTGTAGTATTTGCAAAAAAATTTGGAAAATGTTCAATTTTGTCCCCGTTACACACTAATTGCAACTGCAACTCACCCCAAACTTGCCTGGAATAACCATTACACAGGTCCTTGAAGTAAAAAACGATCCACGATGAAGATTCAGCCTACAATTGCAGTGAAAACAGGAGGAATAACCGCTAACCTGACAACCTTTCAGGCATGGCCAGGACTGCTATTGGTTTGTGCACAAAAAAAAATTGTGTACAATGAATGGCGGTCGATTAACAGGCACAGAGAGCGATCGCTGTCAACTACTCGTTTTGCCGGCTGCGCTGGCGTTGGCGCGTGACGTCACGCGGAAGCGTAACACCCGATGACTGTTTCATGCACTAGTATAAGGTTTACCACTCGCATCACAGCTTTGGTACTGGAACCGCAACCAATAGTGCATGAAACAGTCATCGGGTGTTACGCTTCCGCGTGACGTCACGCGCCAACGCCAGCGCAGCCGGCAAAACGAGTAGTTGACAGCGATCGCTCTCTGTGCCTGTTAATCGACCGCCATTCATTGTACACAATTTTTTTTGTGCACAAACCAATAGCAGTCCTGGCCATGCCTGAAAGGTTGTCAGGTTAGCGGTTATTCCTCCTGTTTTCACTGCAATTGTAGGCTGAATCTTCATCGTGGATCGTTTTTTACTTCAAGGACCTGTGTAATGGTTATTCCAGGCAAGTTTGGGGTGAGTTGCAGTTGCAATTAGTGTGTAACGGGGACAAAATTGAACATTTTCCAAATTTTTTTGCAAATACTACAAGTTACGAGAAAAATTCGCTCCAGCCCTTATAGACAACCCAATGATAAAACTCAGGGCTGGGTAACTCCAGCTAGCCTGGAATAACCATTACACAGGTCCTTGAAGTAAAAAACGATCATGACGATCCATGATGAAGATTCAGCCTACAATTGCAGTGAAAACAGGAGGAATAACCGCTAACCTGACAACCTTGCTGGCATGGCCAGGACCGCAATTGGTTTGTGCACAAAAAAAAATTGTGTACAATGAATGGCGGTCGATTATCAGGCACAGAGCGCTGTCAACTACTCGTTTTTGCCGGCTGCGCTGGCTGTTGGCGCATGACGTCACGCGGAAGCGTAACACCCGATGACTGTTTCATGCACAATTGGTTGCGGTTCCAGTACCGCAAGGTTGTCAGGTTAGCGGTTATTCCTCCTGTTTTCCCTGCAATTGTAGGCTGAATCTTCATCGTGGATCGTTTTTTACTTCAAGGACCTGTGTAATGGTTATTCCAGGCAAGTTTGGGGTGAGTTGCAGTTGCAATTAGTGTGTAACGGGGACAAAATTGAACATTTTCCAAAATGTTTTGCCTATACTATCGTTTACGAGAAAAACTAGCTCCAGCCCTAATAAACAACCCAATGATAAAACTCAGGGCTGGGTAACTCCAGCTAGGGTGTGGGTATTTTGCGGAACTTGCAGAACGTGCAAATACCTATTGCCCCTTGAGAATCCCCCCCAAAAAGACATGAAAGACATTGACATTGGGCCTTTGAATTGATGTTTGAGCGCGATCGGTGTAGATCTTCGCGATTGGTCGATCGTGCCTCCCTATTGGTCGATCTTGGCCCCATAAATGAAAATGTGGCCAATTTACTGGACTACCTTTGTCATTGTTTGTAAATATATAAAGGAGGTAGTCCAGTAAATTGGCCACATTTATGGGGCTAAGTCGATCTCACCGCCATCAGTCGATCACATGTTCTTTCTAATCATGCTAATTAATATACGGCTCCAGTCTTGAGGATTGTTTTGAAAAGGGAAGTGAAGTCTGAGATTTCCTACACACTGCTACAGGAATCGACCGATGATCTGATCGCGCAAGTGCATTTTCTGCGCGATCGCGCAGCCCCACCGATCGTGCCCAACATTTACATGATTTACTCCTAGAACTATGAGGCTCCACGTAGTGGAGCCTCATAGGTTCAGAACCCCGCAAAATTGTTGTCAGCACAAAACACTAATTAAGTACAAAAACGCCCATCCCAACCAAGCCGTTTCCCATAGAACCGCTGCACAGTTTGCCCCTAAACACCGTACAATACCTCATGACATACTCACGCTATGTGCACCCAACAAACATCGGTGGATTCTGTCGGTTTTTTTGCAAAAATGATGGAAAATATGCCCTTTCCGCACTGAGCCAACCTGACACTTGAAATTTGCACGCGCGCAGAATGATCGCAGTCATTTTCGGTCCGATCGCTCGGAGCGCGCCGCGGGGGGTATGGTGTAGGAGCGGAACGATAGTATGCGCATGCGTACAAGTGCGAGTACGTACCCCCCGCGGCGCGCTCCGAGCTATCGAACCCGAAAATGACTGCGATCATTCTGCGCGCGTGCAAATTTCAAGTGTCGGGTTGGCTCAGTGCGGAAAAGGCATATTTTTCATCATTTTGCCGAAAAACCGACAGAATCCACCGATGTTTGTTGGGTGCACATAACGTGAGTATGTCATGAGGTATTGTACGGAGTTTAGGGGCAAACTGTGCAGCGGTTCTGTGGGAAACGGCTTGGTTGGGATGGACGTTTTTGTACTTAATTAGTGTTTTGTGCCGACAACAATTTTGCGGGGTTCTGAACCTATGAGGCTCCACTACGTGGAGTGTGAAGTGGTGAACTGTTTATCTTCCAAAATAAACCCACTGCACAAGTAGTCCAAGTAACTTGGACCCAACTTATCGCCTTTTGAACATTCGGACATGGTCTGGCAATAGTCTGAATGTCAAGAAAGGCCATAAGTTGGGTCCAAGATACTCGGACTATCTCAGTCCCAAATTTGAGTGGCTTCATTTATTGCATTGAAACTGTTCATAGATCAGGGCGGAATGACGTCATCCAATCAAAACATCTTCAAATTCTTCATGTACTCATTTGCACATTAGTTTTCATCGGTTGCTATGTGTTTAATACCATTCAACATTCCAGATTTGTTTTGCTAGGGGTATCAGACTGGATAGGACACAGCGCCCTCCATCTTGTGCCAGCACGCAAAGTCATCGGTGAGGGTTTGAAAGTTTGAAATGCGTTCGTCACACACAGACCATGCAGCACGTCACGCGTGCGCGGTTGCAAACGTTAAAACCTCACTGTACTACCCAGCTGTTTGTGTCTGCGTTTTCCGAATCTTCACTGCGCGCAAGTATACGCGTGTCCTATCCAGTCTCAATGGTATCAACCCACATGTAAAGTAATTGCCAGACTCTACCACCCTCAATCCTGCAAAATCTTCCCAAACCTAGTATCTTCTGAAGAATTTGAGACTTGAGAGGGATGTTGAGTGATTCATTCTTCTTTTTCTGTTTTATAAAGGTAATTCTGCTTGTTGGTCTTTGTGAGAGATTCCTGGCATTTGGCAAGCATGTTCCATCCATCCAACAGCAGCGCGACCCTCCGCCAGTCCAAGCCCATGCCGAAGTGGCTGTGGCTCTGCATCTCCAAGTCCCTGGGCATTAAGACCCATCCGCAGGACAAGCCCATCTTGGCTACGGCTCTCTACATCTTCACACTGGCCTGCACTATGACGTACTTCGTCACGTGCAGTTGGTACGTCGTCTATGATATTGAAGCCACTACCACCAAGTACGACGTCCTTAACGGCTCGGTGACGATCATCATGGCGGCCGGCTTTTGTTGCGTCACGGTCTACGCCAACCTCCTAGCCTTCAAGCTCTTCAACAACTCGGTCTTCCGCCAGAGCCTGCGACTTCACTCCAAGACCATTCTGAAGGTCAACGCCTCCCTCTTGCTAGTGGTACTCAGTCTTCTGTTCATTGGCATATACGCCTACATCTCGTACTGTTCGGAGTCCGGTGCCGAACCGTGCGAGAGTGTGAACCTTAGCCCCATCATATGCTACATTCGCTTCCCCAGTCAAACGGTGCTGTCTGTTATATCTTTCATCTGGAACCTCATGGTGGCCGTGGTGTGTATGTCTGTTTGTCGGACTCACACCATCAGTAAGTAATTCTCTATTTGCCGGCTGTGATTGTATTTGCGCCTGACTGACTGACTGGCACTTGTCCCAAAAGTTTGAAATAGTATATAACTTTGTTGTGCCAATGACAGATGTAAGCCACATGCATGAAAAGAATTCTAGTGAATACAGTACCAAAGTGAATACATCACGCGCTCGAAATGTGTGTAAAAGACATTAGCGCGTGATTCAGCCGGTGAACCAACACGCGCGCGTACTCCATTCGTTTGCACTACACTTCCTGGTACCAAATGACCTCACACTTCGGTACATTATAGTCATTCTGAATCGATTGAATATAATTATTTGTGCTCTCTGGGACTGTTTCAACAGTCAAAAGCTCCCAGCCAAAATAAAGCAGGCTTGACTGGCTGTGACTGTTTATGTAACTTGATACAGCTATGTTATGACTGTAGGTGGTTGATAAGACAGCTATACCAACAGTCTCTTGCTTTTGTCTGTTGACTGAATTTGACTAATCAGAGTGCTTGCTGTAAATACGATCTGACTGTTTGTGACTAGCCTTTGTGAAAGGCATGGCATGTGGGTGGAATTTTTGACTGTCTATGACTGTTTAAACAGTGGGAGAGATACAACATGTATGTTTGTGGTCAGTCCACAGTTTTGAAGTACTGATGTATAATTGTATTTAAAATTTCGTAATGTCAGAAGCAAAAAGGTTTTTTGCGCAATTGCAGTGCAATTGCTGTTGCGTCACAAATTCATGTTCGCATCTGCTTTCGCGCCGAGTATGAACCGACCTTGTCTCAGATCAGAACAGGACCTGGAGTTTGGAGCTAGCATACAGCTATTAAATTAGATTAGATTACTAGAGCGCTGACTCTTTATTCGTGCGCGCGGAGACGCTTTGAAGCCGCTCTGGGCGCAGACATTTTGAATTTATGTGCGTGTTTGTAGAACACAATAAAAAAAGATGGATTGAATTTTAAAAGTGTCCTCTAAATGCAACGCGCAAGTAGAAGACACGCAAACAACTTAAGCACGTCTGGACGGTTCAAAAAACATCATGGCGAAAAGCATCAGCAGTGGAGGGACGCGCACATGTTGCGCTGTTTGCGTAGAGCAAAATGACACGCTCATTTGCTGATCGTGCGTTTCGGTTTTGGGCGTATCGGCTTCGATGACGCACCGCTATGGAATACAAACCCAGATATGGAAATAGACGTACACAATTTTGAGTTCTCCATAGGTTTGTGTACAAACATGGATGCGCCCAGCAGGCATCACTTTGTTCATGAGTTAGCGCTCTTAGTAATTTAATATAGCTGTTTTGGGAGCTAGCAATAGTTGTGTGTTCTTTACTGCTCTAATGATGCGAGTAGTTATTGAAAAAGTTTGATCAAAATTTGAGTCCCTCACCTGAAAGCGTTGATACTTGAGCACACACTGAACCCAACGTGATTCTCTTTTCCTCTTTCTCAGGCATCCGTCATTTCTTGCTTGAGCTAGACGACGATGCCATGATCTATGAGATGCAGAACCGAAACAGTGCGATTCCAATCACGATGTCAGACGGGGCGTCAGTCCAAGAGAGGCAATTGGAGGAATCCGTCGGGGGTGACGACACCCGATTGGACATCAAAGAAGATCTGGATGTGCGCAGAATCGAAGGTGAGGTTTGAAGGGGCAGAATCATGTGTAAGGGAGTTCAGGGAACAGGGTTCCAGATAAGGATGATCTTGTTTGGCTTAAAGGGAAGATACAACATTTGCAAATATCAAAAAACGAAATGATCAAATCATCATGAAATACCTTACTGGCTTGCTAGGGAATGACAGTCTAAAGCATCCTGTAAAATCGTGGCTCCTGGTGTGCTGACATTTTCAAGAAAAAGTGTATTTTTCCAATGCTGGTCGGCCGACCAGTGTTGGAGAAAACTGGCTTTTTTTCAAAAAGTGCTCCTGAATTTTCATATTTAGTTACTTCGGATTTTCTTTGCAATTTGTTACACACCTGTGAAGGACTACAAGAACATGATTGGTTTTCTTGGTTTTTCCAGCATCACAAGCCCAAAACATGAAACAAGTCAGTTTAACAATATTTACTATAAATCCTCCAAATCTATTATTTCTGAAAATTGCAGCAAAAGCAAATGTTGTACATTCCCTTTAAAGATAGTAATGGGACTCGATCAACTCCCTGTGAAATTATTCTTTCTGGCAAGCTGTTGTACATTCCCTTTAAACAAATCTACATGGTATGAACTCCATGCACAATTGTACTGTCAAGAATTAGAAAGAGTTGGGGGAGACCTCTTGAAGGGTCAATCAAAAGTCTTAACCCTAACCTTCCTCAACCCTCCAAAATCCTCTGAGCGGTTTTGGAGGATTTCGTAGGATTGAGGATGAATGCAACATACAGTTTTGGAGGATTGTGGAGGATTGAGGGCACATTGGCATTCAGTATCGGTTGGTTTTGGAGGATTGAGGCTGACTGGTGTTTTAAGAAGAGGAGGATTTTGGAGGATTGAGGATGAATGAATTTTGAGAGGCAAGGCTGTCAGAGGATTTTGAAGGATTGAGGCAGTGGTTACATTTATCCTTTATTTGAACATCAGTGCAGAATTGTGGAGGATTTTAGAGGATTGAGGGTGGTTCCTAGGAAAAAGGGCCTAGGGGTTAGGGTCACGCCAGACTGAGACCTGGAGTGCTCTGAAACGTGCAAAAATAAATCAGGCCAACTTTACTCACTCTTTAGCCAGCAAATTTCTCCAAAATGTTCATTGGACAAAGAAAAGGTCCTCAGTATTTCACAAACCAACTTTGCAGACTCAATTCAATTTTTAACCCTTACTCCCTAGGCCTTTTTGCTAGGATGTAGCCTCAATCCTGCAAAATCCTCCAATTGGCCTCCTGGGAAAAATAGCATATATAGCCTCAATCCTGCAAATTCCTCCATTATTTCTTGAATATGGTCCTTGGAGAGGTGACCACTGCCTGAATCCTACAAAATCCTCCGGCTGTGACTCAATAGGTTGAGGCAGAGGCAGTGACATCTTGGAGCAGTGCGGAGGATTTCAAGTATAATCAAGGACTAAATTTATGCTAGGCTGAACATAAACAATACAAGGTCCAGCCCAAGACCTTGACACAGTGCGTCCTCCGAAATCAGCAACACACTTTTGCCATGTAACGTCAATCCTGCAAATTCATCCAATGTGAAAAAAGGATTTGGGAGGATTTGGAATGGTTAGGGTTAAAGGAGACTTTTCTTCAATATTTTGCACATGAGAGGGAAGTCAAGTGATTTCAAAATGAGGCTAAAGACTAGACTGGTACATGTCCAAGCATGGTCCAACTGTTTGAAAAGATTGACCTCTTTATTCAGTGTCAGTAGTCTGGTGGATGCCTATGGAGTAATGTGTAGTAAATAGAGACTAGTTCCCGGTTCATACCACATGGGCTTTTTTTTGGCACAGTTGATTGATGCATTACTGAAGAGTTGTTGGACTGGTTGTTTCAGGTGCCAGTCTATTTTCTTGTATTGTATGTTTTCAATACCTTAAGCAGTGTTCTCCAACTTTGAAAATTAAAGGTCGGTGCGCCGTCAAAAAGCGGAAGGGGGGGGGGCTATAATTATGTTAGGGGCGCTATTTGCAGTCATACATTTCTTTATGCTAGGGGGTGCTATTTGCAGATGAACATGTACATTATGTACGGATAACAACTTTTAGGCCATTTCTAACACAGTAACACTAACAATTAAGTACAATACTGGCTCAGCATCATCTTTTTTAACACATCAGTGACCAGGGACTCTGAGGCAGTTTGGCCTTGAGACTTTTGACCTGATTGATTGCTACAATGGGCAGGCTTGTCATCAGTTTGACAAATCTTCCATGTTACTGCTTTTGGCAGAGTTTCTGGCCAAAATGTACCCTGGAGGGTAAGGGTAGTCCCCCTCGTTTTTCATTTTTATTATTTTTTCCTTTTTTTTTAAGCATGGCAGGCAACTTTTTAAGGTTAACGGCAGCTTTTGAAGCTTGGCGGGTGCCTCAGAAAACTTGGCAGGGCACCAGGTTATATTTACAGGTTGGAGAACACTGCTTAAGTTTTGGGACTTTTATACAGAGTATTGAGAGTCCCAAATTTTCGGACCAGGGTTACGCTTATAAATGCAAAGATGCTACTGTATGTGCACATTCAGAATAATACAAGCTGTGTGTACTATCTGTTCATAATTTCTCAACCTTCAATTGAAATTGTTTCATTCGAAACCTCTGTTCTCTGTTTACGTTCCCTCAGCGGCCTGGGATAGGAGTGAGTTTGAGAGGAGGCAGCATCGCGTCTCGTCTTGTCTGACTGACGGGCACGCGGCGTTAGCCGATGGAGACGGTCTAGAGCAGGAACTGCCCGACACTGCAGCTGACCATGCTGACAGGGGGCCAGGAACCACAAGGGTAAGCATGTCGGTGGTCAGTTCTGGGCCTAGTTTAGAAAGGTTGTGCTAACTATCCGCTCCGTTCACAAGTACCCCCTCACCGGCGAAGAAAGTACAGTTGGGGGTGACCGACCGATGCCATCTTGCCTGACCGCAATTTTGCTGCGTGTACATACTACAAATCCCCTGGTGTACGTGTGTCACACACAAGGAATGGTGCGCGTCAACCAGCTAAATGTCCCACCCATTGGACATTGTTGCTAGGTAAAAGAGCGCCCTCTTTCGTTGGCACACGGAGCCCATAAGGCCAAAAGAAAATTGTTGGTCTCTGGTCAGACCAAAGTTCTGGAATTGAAGCGGCAACGCATTTAAAAAAAATTGTTTAGCTTTTTTGTTTTTCTCCAAGCTTGGATTGTACAGACAAGGTGGGTACTATTTTGCTTTTGTGTGTCCTCATATACCTTGGTGCCCTCCATCATTTGCCTTTGTGCAATTTCCCCATTCTATGGTGCTCTGTGGTACAAACATTTAAGGTGGTGTGGCAATAGAGATCGCTGTTGTAGCTACCGCGGACAATTTGGGGGGAAAAAAAGATTACGCGCATGATTAAAATCAACGGGCGCGCTAACCAGAGTCCGACTTTTTTGTTTTTTTGGACCTAACAGAAAATTGTGCAAACATTAAAGGTAGAGTTTATCATTTGCAGCTATCCAAAAAGCAACTGATGAAATTATCGTTGAAAAGCATACTTGGTTTAAAGATAGTAATGGCACTAAACTCCCTGTGAAATTGTTCCTTCTGGCATGCTCTCATTTCGAAGAATGTCTCATTTCGAAGATGCGTCTAAAGACACATTTTTGGAAATTTCTGTTAGACCAAAAAAAAAGTCTTCGGTTTCTGGTATGGAGCTTGCCTCAAAAGTGATACGTCTACGCGGCTTTTTGGGGTTTTTTTTCTACTATTTTCTTCAAATGTCGGCCGATGTTGCAGATGATGATGCTTCGATCCCCTTAAAACTCTCAAAAATATCCATCAGGGTGGACATGGTGGAGCTTGAGGTGACCTCAGTAAGGCCATAAGGCTTGAGAATTCTGCACCCACTTACGATCTCGACCGACACGAACATTCTTCGGGAAATTTGGATAGTCAAGACGAAAATCAGAGAAAACGGTAACGTCAGACCATGCAGCAACATCGACATCGTGCATGTGCTGCCAGGCTGGTCATTAGTCTGCTCCCTTACACGTTGCGCTAATTAAAAAGTGTTTACAGGGTCCAGATACACGACCATCCACACACACGTCTGGCTTCTACACACACAATTACAAAATACAACACCGTCTGCAAATGGTGCCCGACTATTCTGTGCAAAATATATGGAAGCCCAGAAAGGCCACATAAAGCTTATACTCGATCGTAACTCAATCTAAAAACATGTTAAAATTGTGCAGCAGCAAGATTCCAGTCAGATCAGTGAGTTTGGCAGTTTTGAGACATCATCTTACTTTGAAAAAAACAAAAAAACTTTTTAATTTTGCCGACGCGCATGGCTACGGCGACGCGCGCATACCAGAAACAGGAACCTTGGGGGTTTTTTTTGGCCTTAGTGGTTCGTTTTTAATTTGGCAAAGCTGTAAATGGGTGCGCGCAAGCATGCAAGCATTGACACGATTGCCATAATTCGTCGGTTCAGTGCGTGACATCGAGGAGCTGCGATCGGCTGAGTGAGAACGTGTCCCGGACGATGATTTCAGGCGCAATTCAAAACATGACTCAGCAACTCTTGTATTGAAATCGAGATCCTAGAATATTGTTTTCTCGGAATATGCAGCATTCACTGAACTAATTCAACTAAAACTTCATCGGGTTAGTTGTTAAGCGCCTTCTTTAGGTTTTGAGCATTTTTGTTGCTTCAAACGAAAAAAAAAATACACAAATGACATGATATACTGTAGGTTTAAGCACTGTTACATGCTGTGGATGTGCTAAAGCTTGCACACTTGTGAAGATATCTGCTACTATTGTTATTCATAATCACTCTTGAAGGACAACTGCATTAATTTAAAGGGAAAATACAACATTTGCAAACATCAAAAAATAAAACTACCAAATCATTTTGAAATACCTTGCTGGACTGTTAGTGAATGACAGTGTAAAGCATCCTGTAAAATCATGGCACCTGGTATACCGTCATTTTCAAGAAAAGTGGTATTTTTGTATCAATTTCCAACGCTGGTCGGCCGACCAGCGTTGGAAAAAACTGGCTTTTTTCAAATACTGGCCCCAGTTGACCATCGCACTTGTTTGCAATCGATTACACACCTATGAACGGGTACAAGCCAGCTAGACTGGTTCCCTGACCTTACAATTCCACAATGTGTGTAAACTGCTCTGTTTCTTCTTATGGAGTCAGGGTTTTTATAGCATTTTCGAACCCAAAACCTCAAAAACGTCAGTGTAACTATATTTGCTATATATTTCCAACCCCCCAATTCCATCCATTTCTGAAAATTACAGCAAAAGCAAATGATGTATATTCCCTTTAAGGAGTGCACAAGAATTATACAGGGTGGATAAAAAAAAATGAAACTGAGATATTATTGCTAATTGGAACAGAAGTAGGGCACATGTGAATCAAAGGGAGATATCCTCTGTTAGGGTTGAATCTCCTCTTTAAAATGACACCCTGATCATGTCATTACATTCATGGTTGACTGAGCAGTGACCAATTTTATGAAAGGGTCTATTTAGAGAATCGCGCCACTTTTCAATTGTGGTTTTTGTGGTGTCATTTGTCACAGAGTGAAAGGCTATGGTTGCCATTCAAGGCAGGTAGAGAAAAAAAAGAGATTTCACCATGAAAAGTGGCGCAAATCTCTAAATAGACCCTTTCATAAAATTGGTCACTGCTCAGTCAACCGTGAATGCAATGACATGATCAGGGTGTCATTTTAAAGAGGAGATTCAACCCTAACAGAGGATATCTCCCTTTGATTCACATGTGCCCTACTTCTGTTCCAATTAGCAGTAATATCTCGGGGTTTTTTTTTATCTACCCTGTATAATCATAGATGTCAGATGTAACAGGGACAGGAACAAAGTGGAACCCAAATATGTGGAATGACCCAAATGCGTTTGATTGGTGTGTGGATATAATGTTATTTAATTTGATCGTTTGCATCGAGCATATGATTTGAGGATGTGGGGAAGTGCAAAAAACTTCTTTGCAAAAATTACTGGATTTTGCTTGATGGATAAATTTGTATGTATTCAGAAGTTGTTCCCACACTAGTTGGAAATGGAAGAAAGTCTCATGTATTATATTCGTTCTTGATTAGGGCGTTGTGCCGCGCCAGAGGGAGTCTGTCACATCAGCTTTTGTCCACACTGGAGCCGTGAAACTACTCACAAAGGCCGAAATTCTGGACCGCTACTGGAGGCTGCAGGTAAGACATTCAACTTCCCAGGGATTGCTGGAGCAACGGATCGACCCATTAAACTCTGCCCGAAGGCATTGGGAGCAATCACAGCTGTTACTGATGCAACATGTTATCACAAAAGTCCAACATGTGTTTACACATTGGCACTTATGCGGTACCGGGAACAAAGGGCAACAATAGGGACAATGGTACCCCGCAAGTCTGTCTTAAGAAATTGGAGTACATGTACTCCATAGCCGTAACACTATGTATTTTTAGATTTGTAAGGGGACAAAGGAGAACCAAAGAAGGGAATTTGGGGCAAACATTAAATGCGTGTGTGGATGGGTGTGGGTGAGTTTATTTCTGCATTCAGTGGGGGACGTTGAACAATAGAGGACAATAGGGTCTCCAATTCCTGAGAGGTCCCCAATTTCTGATCGTGTACAAAATATATGAGCGATCTTCCTAAAAAGTTGAAGTACAAGCAAAAGAGGGACAATAGGGGGTCCCTGGTTGCAGGCAAATACACACGTGCTAGGGTGTGTATGTGTTTAAGGCTGGACCATTCAATGTGGCTCTGAATAGGTACAAAGCGTTGTTGCCCATGTGGGCAAGGCTTAAAGGGAAAATACAACATTTGCAAACATCAAAAAATAAAACTACCAAATCATTTTGAAATACCTTGCTGGACTGTTAGTGAATGACAGTGTAAAGCATCCTGTAAAATCATGGCACCTGGTATACTGTCATTTTCAAGAAAAGTGGTATTTTTGTATCAATTTCCTACGCTGATCGGCCGACCAGCGTTGGAAAAAACTGTTTTTTTTTCAAATACTGGCCCCAGTTGACCATCGCACTTGTTTGCAATCGATTACACACCTATGAACGGGTACAAGCCAGCTAGACTGGTTCCCTGACCTTACAATTCCCCAATGTATGTAAACTGCTCTGTTTCTTCTTAAATGGAGTCAGGGAACCAGACTACAGGCAAACGATTGTTTTTCTTGGTTTTTATAGCATTTTCGAACCCAAAACCTCAAAAAAGTCAGTGTAACTATGTTTGCTATATATTTCCAACCCCCCAATTCCATCCATTTCTGAAAATTACAGCAAAAGCAAATGATGTATATTCCCTTTAATGGGTCGGTGTACTTAGTATGGGGGTTAAGTTTCATCACCACACCTTGCAAAGTCTGAAAACTTTCCTGATATTAACGGACTGTGACTGGGCAGCACTGAAACCAAAGACTGCCCTCTGGGCTCAAAATGCACTCCTAACAATGCGGAGGGTGTATGTCTGTAACCTGGCAGTGACCGAATTCATTCATTGTGTGCAATCAGTACTGTTGAGTCATTTAACCTTGAGCGTATTGTACATGCCGGCAGAAAGTGTGAATTTCAATTGAGCACAACTCTTTCTTCAGTTTGATCGTGAAGTCCTTTTCGTAGGTCTCCAAAAAGACCATGTGGTAGAATCAAGTAAAAAGCACCTAGGCTGTGTCAACGGACTATATGTATATTGAATGAAGACAATTGTTAGTCTTGGTCCACATGTGGGATTTGGAACGTATTCCAGTACTTTTTCATTACCCATACACTAAGTACTACATAAGACTTATTTGTTGTAATTCATACAGTCTTCAACTTCTGGCAACTACAGTAGTCCCTCCAAAAAAGTGTCCGTCTGACTATTTTTGAAATATCTACAAAACCACAAAGTAGATTTCGAAAATTTTTAATTGTGCAGATAGGATTTATCGTTGGCCTAAACCCCTACAAGTTTAATTGAATTTTCATCACGCCTCACTCATAGACATAATAAAACCTAGACATGACATTATCTGCTTTTACATTGTAAATTCTGTGAGCAAAACGGGCTGTGTCACGCGGCTTAATATAGCAATGAGCGAGTGTCATGCATATGGCTTCGATTTACGCGCATACTTCTTAGTTATTCTATACGCGCAGCATTTTGCTGACAGGCGCAATAGCAAATGTCGTGTATAGGTTGTATTATATGTCTATGGCCTCACTAGTACTGCACAATGGTCAATTGATCACAATCACATTTCTGGACACTGTGACTAAGAACCTTGCCTCAGTCGATTTCAGTGCGGTGTTATGCAAGCTGTGTAAAATCCTGCCTGTTGTGAAAAGGGCTGCGGTTGAGATTGGAATCATTTGCCTGGCTACCAGTCATCCTGGCAAGACCTCAGTTTAATGCCCAAGGGCAAATGATTTGGGTGGCATGGGTGGCTTGTGCGTAAAGCGCTTGCCTCTCACCAAGGTGACCACGGTTCGAATCCTGGCCGCGGATCGCATGTGAGTAGAGTCGTGCGTTGGTTCTCTCCTGTGCCACGAGGGTTTTTCTCCGGGCCCTCCGGTTCTCTTCCCTCCGGAAAAAATCAAACACTTTCAATCTCAGGCTGTGCTCCGTGGTCATATATGGGTCGATGTGGCCGGCAGCCATAGGCGCCTTTACGTGCCAGCGGCCCGACCACGTTGTAGCCGCGTCCTTCCCAATTCAGCATACCAGCTGCGAGTAAGGATGATTAGCCTCCCAAATTATTATTATTATTATGATTCCAATCCCAAACCACATCAGCCTTTTTTTCACAACATGCAGGATTTTTACAGAGCTTACATAACACAGCACTGAAATTGATTAAGGCACTTGGTCACAGTGTCCAAAAATGTTGTTGTGATCAATTGACCATTGTGCAGTGAGGCATGGTGAAAATTGAATAAAACTCATAGCAGTTTAGGCCAAGTATAAGAAGTATCTGCACGATAAAAGAAAAATGAAATTACCTTGTGGTTTTGTAGTTATTTCAAAAATAGTCAGGCGGACACTTTTTGGGGACATATAAGATAGCATGACAAAGTTTAGACACACCGCTAGAATTTTTCTTTCCTATGGAAACCACTTATACTGTTGCGGGGACTGGTTTCCGGTCCCTCCACTGTCCTTCAAATGTAAGCGCGGAACCAGCCTATTGCAAACTGGCAACAAGGCTATCACTAACGCACACTTTGTGTGATGATGATTTTTGATTTTTCTGACTTAATTTAGGGTCATTGTGTTGAAATGGTGATATTCTATAAACGGATTGAGCAATTTCAGTAATTTTTTCATCTTAAAGTAGCTTATGAAATTGGCTTTCCAGTCATTATTATGTTTGGTGCTACACATTTTTTTAATATGAAATATAATTTGGGGGTTTGGGGGCGGCTTTTTTTTTTTTACTCGCCCTGTACATGTACACTGTGTTTGCTGTACACTGTGTTTGCTGTTTTACCTCCAGTTGTGGCTTAATTTCATGGTCAGTCAGTTACAACAGCCCACACAAAGGAGATATGCAACAAAATTAAATTAGGTTGCTTTCCCAGGATAGACCACTTGTCAATACCTTTAGAGGATCTACCAAGCGTTACCTCCATAGTTCCTGAATTCCAGAACTGCGGTCATTTGTGACCCCCCTAAAAAAAAAATGCCATTGAAACAGGAGTTTACAGCAAAGTGAATTTCATTGTTATTGCAACTTCACCCAGAATGTTTTGTGGCTGTTACCATTCTTGGGTGGACTGGAGCGTTTCTTTCGAACATTCTCCTTTTCACGCACCGTAGCATTTCCACATATTGCCCCACACCCACATATTGCCCCGCACACACATATTGCCCCTCACACTGTTGAAACAAGGCTAAAAATATCTGCTGTACTGCTGGGCCGAATCCAGTTATTTAAAGGGAATATACATCATTTGCTTTTGCTGTAATTTTCAGAAATGGATGGAATTGGGGGATTTGAAATATAAAGCAAATATAGTTACACTGACTTTTTGGAGGTTTTGGGTTCGAAAATGCTATAAAAACCAAGAAAAACGATCATTTACCTGTAGTCTGGTTCCCTGACTCCATATAAGAAGAAACAGAGCAGTTTACATACATTGGGGAATTGTAAGGTCAGGGAACCAGTCTAGCTGGCTCGTACCCGTTCATAGGTTCGTAATCGATTGCAAACAAGTGCAATAGTCAATTGGGGCCAGTATTTGAAAAAAAGCCAGTTGTTTCCAACGCTGATCGGCCGATCAGCGTTGGAAATTGATACAAAAATACCACTTTTCTTGAAAATGACAGTATACCAGGTGCCATAATTTTACAGGATGCTTTAGACTGTCATTTACCAACGTCCTATTAAGGTATTTCGCAAAAACTTGGTAGTTTTATTTTTCGATGTTTGCAAATGTTGTATATTCCCTTTAACCCTAACCCCTTGAGCACTTTCATTCGAAAGTATCCTGAATCCACCAAAATCCACCAATTTTGTCATGCAAAAAAAAGTAGGTGTCCTGAGTCCATCAGAATCCACCGGTGAGTCCATCAGAATCCACCAGTGTAGTACATATATACCTCGTACACACCAAACATATAGCCAAGAAGTTAAACTGTTGAGATCCTGAATCCATCAAAGTCTCCCAACTGCTCAATATGGAGGTATCCTGAATCCATCAACATATTTTTGAGAAAAACAGCATTCTAGGACCTCGATTTCAAATCAAAAGTTGCTGAATCATGTTTTGAATTGGGCCTGAATTCAGCGTCCGAGACACGTTCTCACTGAGCCGATTGCAGCTACGCGATGTCGCGCACTGATCCGACGAATTATAGCAACCGCGTGCATGTGTGCATCATGCCAATGCTTCTGGCGCTTGGCAAAATAACAAAACAAACTACTAATTTGAATTTCCTATGGTGCTTTTTAAGAAGCACCGTTGGGAAGGCCTTCTTTTGTTAATTTCTTCAAAATGACAGCTTGCCAGAAAGAATAATTTCACAGGGAGTTTAGTCCCCTTACTATCTTTCAACCAAGTATGTTTTTCAACAATAATTACGCCTGTTACTTTTTGGATAGCTGCAAATGATGGACTCTGGCTTTAAAATGCAATGAACATACATGCACTCTAGGTTAGAAACTCTTTTGGGGCGTTGGGGATGTCATGGAAAATTTGGAGGGTCATAGTGAACAATGTGCCACTGAAGGTGGGAATAAAAAAACATGACAACAGCTCGGTTGGCCTGTTTGCATAAGCAGGAAAAAAAACACCCATAACGGGGTACATGTATGTGGATTTGTTTGTCCTTGAACAACCCAATTTTTATTCTTTCATTGAGACTTCCCAAAAGTGCTTTGATTCCTGGGAGAGTTCATTGTTCATTGTTCATTGAAGTGCACTGTTCTTGAAATGTGCAATTTTAGTAAACCGGCTGAATAAAAAAATTATTTCTCTAGGTTCTGGGTCCTATTTCATCGTTAGAGAAATCTTTTGCGACTTGTCCTAAAAAAAAATAGTGTGCTTCAGAATTTTTTTTTTGGTTTATTTTGGGTTTTTCACAAGATGGCTTAACCGACCCGACCCGAAAATCGCAAAAATGATGAAAAATGATGGAAAAACTGACCCGACGCGACCCGAAGTCGGTTTTGGGTCGGGTCGGTTTTTGTTGGGTTTGCACAACATGACTCCATAATAAACTCTAGCATGTTGATATTTTTTTCAGTGTCGTCTGAACACGACCTCTGCCATCCTCCAGCGCTGGATCACGTGCTGGATCATCCTGATCCTATTATGGAGTCTCTATTACCTCATGTACTGGATTGACCATGACGCCAGCATCTTAGACATGATCATCTTCTTCATACCGCTGTTCCTCTTGCCGCTGTTGTGCTCTGGACCGATAGAGGTCAACGGGGAAGGGGAGCGAGTCGCCAAGGTAACAGTTTTCAAAAGATTGCTTTTTGCATGTGGCACCCCTAAGCAATGCGTTTTCAAATGGAGAAGTTCAGTACCTAGCATAACCTGCATGTACATTATGGCGTTTCTTGGAGACCGTACAACAAAAAAAGCCAAAAATTAACAAATTATAATATTTTTTAATTTTCAAATGTTATTAGAATTGTCCTTCAGTTTAACCTGCCTTTGCAAAAATGCATTCTGTGCCAAGTTGTCCTTTCAGTCAAAATCAGTTTAGTGCCTGTTTTTAACAGTTAAGAGCTTCCAGCCTACATAAAGAAGGTTTGACTGGCTGTGACCGTTTGTGTACTCAGTAGCTTGATACAGCTATAGAAATTCCATGCAATGGAATTTCTGTGTTGGCCACTTATTCTGCCAACAACATCATTCCTATCAAGTATCACGCATCCAGCGTGTTACTTGCCTCAGAGCACGGTTCACATGCTCAAACGCCAGACAATCGTAATCACACGCCTTATGCTGGATTGGTTTTAAAAATATATTTTGGGAGTTGTTTTTGGAACGCATTTCCCAATTCTTGGTTTCATCATCAGCTTTATAAAAAACATTTTGAAATGTTCAGTGGCAATTTTTCACAGCTTTCTCTGGAGCATATTGCTCAAACTTTTTAACACAAATCTCAGCACTGAGAGTTTGTCCAAAACAGGTGGTTTTCTTTTGAGGTTTAACATTGTAGACCGCGAATTCCAGCGAACACAGCACAAAGCGACGCCCCTTGGCATTTCGCGATTTTTTTTATTATGAGTCACAAGCACAAGTTGCCGCTGAGTTTTATTTTATTAGACAGCAAATGTTAAACATAAAGTAAAAGCACAAGGGAAGATTTATTTTGAAGATAATCTGAAGCATTTCCATATGTTTGATATCATTCCTCTATATCTAAAATGCCAATATACATGTATAGATAAACAAATTGCTATCGGCGATTTCTATGTCGAAATAATATCAAATAATCAAGTAATATCGATATATCAATGGTGCCTACAGCCATATGCTACCATAACAATTATTAACAAATATTCCATCATGAAATCTCAAGGGATATATTCAGTAACTCACGTTGTGGTAACTCACGTTACAGTGTATCCACCCATCTTTGGTACAAGTAAGAACATATTAGAAACTAAAAATTAAACAAAAAACTCTTTTGGCATAAAATTTGAACCTTTCATTCTGCCTTAAAAGCAAAAACTCACAATAAGGCCAAAAAAAAAAATAAGTCGGTCTCTGGTCAGCGCGCGCGTCGATCTTTTTTTTTTCCAAAATGTTCCGCGGTAGCTCCAACAGCGCCCTCTATTTCCGCACCTCCTCAATTTTTTTTACCAAAGAGCACCAAGGATTGGGAAATTGCACCAAGGCGAATGATCGAAAGCACCAAGGCAAATTATGGAGGACACCAATGTACATGAGGACACCAAAAAAAGCAAAATAGTACCCACCTTGTCTGTACAATCCAAGCTTGAAGAAAAAAGGAAAAAAAAAAAAAAAAAAAAAAAAAAAAAAGCCGCGTGGCCGCGTCAATTCCGGAACTTTGGTCTGACCAGAGACCGAATATTTTTTTTTTTTGGCCTAACACCAGTATTTTACGTGCAAAAACAAAAAAATGACAAACTAAATTAAGTTTAGCCAAAAAAACCCAAAAAGTTTTTCGACCCAAATTAAAAAAAACTCAACCGTATCGTTTCTCAGCGTCACACCATGGAATGCCCATAATGCATCCTTGTTGGTCTCAGGGTAGTTTTTGATTTATTTCTTTCCCGCAGGTGCTAAATTCTAAGCTTGTTTACAATGGAGGGCTTGGAGGCATGAGTCCAGTGACCTTTTTTAGGGTGTGGAGTGTTTTGAGGCATTGAACCAAGTCCAGACCTATTGGGTGTGCTGTTGTAAAATAGGTGGAGAGAATTTGGCCATTGTATAAAGTCTTACTTGACCGGTTACCAAAACAGCTTTTGTTTGACTTGAACTTGTTTGTCCAAAAAGAAAAAGGAAAAAAAACAGCCCAAAAAAGTGTGAATCACTCAGTTGTACCGTTTTAGAAAGAAAACAGTCGACTCCCGTTAAAGGGAATATACAATATTTGCATTTGCTGTAACTTTCAGAAATGGATGGATTTGGGGGGTTAGGACTATAGCAAATATTGCTACACTGACTCGTTTGAAGTTTTGTGTTCGTAGATGCTGGAAAAACCAAGAAAAACAATCGTGTTCTCGTAGTCTGGTGCCCTGTCCCCAATTAAGATGAAACAGAGCAATTTGTAGACGTCAGTGAATTGTAAGGTCAGGGAACCAGTCTAGCTGGCTTGTACCCACTCATAGACCTGTAATCGATTGCAAATAAAATGCGGACTAACTAAATATGGTCAATCGGGGGTTATATTTGAAAAAAGCCAGTTTGTTTTTTTCAACGCTGGTCAGCCGACCAGCATTGGAAATTGATACAAGAATGCCACTTTTTTTGAAAATATCAGCACACCAGGTGCTATGATTTCACAGGATGCTTTAGACTGTCATTCACTAACAGTCCAGTAAGGTATTTCATAATAATTTGGTATTTTAGTTTTTGATGTTTTTGCAAATGTTGTGTATTCCCTTTAATACAAACTCTGCTTAATACAAATTCTGGTTATAGAGAATATAAAGCCTTTGTCCTGACTGTGCCTTTATGTGCTCAATCTTATGGGACCGACACGAGAAATGTCTTGGCTTGGTTCCAGCTAAAGTTTTTACTAACGGGAGTTGACTGTAAATGTTTTCAAGTTGAAGCTTTGATGATTGAAACTTTAAAAAGTTGTCTGCATGAACATGTTTTAGTTTCACTCTTGTGTCATAAATGAACTGATAGATTTTATTTATAAAGTCAGAAAAGCTAGAAGTTATCAACTTTTCAACATTTTGATGTCAAGCTTCTGGACAGGGTGGCCCCCCAAAAAGTGTACACTTTTTTCAGAGGCAGATTTCTCAAACTTGAAAATGTTTTAAAATATTCCTAAATTACGAGATTTTGGTCAGATGTGGTGAAAACGGCATTGAAAATAAAGCTCAAGTTAAGAAATAGCGGCCATGTACAGAAGAATGGTCAAAAACTAGTTTGTCCACGTCTATGACAGTCATGTAGACCTAATAAAAGGTAAAAAGAAAGCAAATATGAATTAAAGTAGTGCTCACCAGTTATTGCTTTGCCAAATTTTCAGACACTTGTCCTTCTTCAGGATGTAGCAAGGTTGAACTGAATCGCCCCAACCTTGCTACACCCTAGAGAATTACAAGTGTCCGAAATTTGGCAGAGCAATAACTGGTGAGCACTACTTTATTTTAAATTTTCTTTTACTACTTCATTAGTGCTACACAGCACCCCATTTTAGTAAAAAGAAAGCGCAGGTCTTAGGGCCAAAAAAAAAAAGTCTCCGGTTTCTGGTGTGGAGCTTGCTTAAAAAGTGGTGCGGCGACGCGGCTTTTTTTTTTTTTTTTTACCTGTTTTTTTTGCTTCAAATGTCGGCTGATGACTGCAAATGGTGCCCGACTAAACTTAGTGCAAATATTATAGGAGACCAGAGAGGCCACATAAAGCTTATTCTCGATCATAACCCCATCTAAAAACACGTTAAAATTGTGCAGCAGCAGGATTCCAGTCAAACCAGTGAGTTTGGCAGTTTAGAGACATCATCTTTCATTGAAAAAAAAACTTTTTCATTTTGCCGACGCGCATGGCTACGGCAACGCGCGCGCATACCAGAAACCGGAGACTTTTTTTTTTTTGCCTAGAGGAGAGTCTTCAGTTCTTATGAGCTAAAAGATGTTTTTATGGATTAATTTGTCGTATAGATGATTTGCCCAACACACGAACGTATGGAGGTCATCATGTTCATCCGACAGGCCCCACTTTCCTTCACTGTGAGTAGAGCATTTGTTGGCCTTGTATTTGTGTGGAAATTGTACAGGAAAGATGTACTTGGAATGTGAAATCAGTGTTGTAGTACTCGTACTCGGTACTTGTACTCGAGTACTACTCAAGTACTTTTTTTAGAGTGCTCATACTTATACTCGTACTCAAATGTCAAAGTACTCATACTCGAAATGACGGTGCAAAGTACTCGCACTCGACTTGTCAAAATTGTACTCGATCATCAAGGTTGCTCGAATAGCAAAACTAGAAAAATATGGTATAGCCTATAGCTTGACTGACCACGGCCTTATTTTATCGATACTTTCAGTTTGAAATGGTGGATTGGCTTGCAGAGAAATAAAAGTTTCCTGATTTTCCTCTGTGCACGTCCAGACAAACACATTTAACAGCTTGCCATGAATGGGTCTGTATATCGGTCTGACTGGGCCTGGGCCAATTACTCACATTGAACCATTTGCCGTATGGCCGTATTCGGAAATAGAAGTACTCTTACTCGTACTCGTACTCGGAATACAAGAACTCGTACTCGTACTCGGAAGTACAAGTATTCGTACTCGGAGACCTGTACTTGTACTCGTAAGTACAAGTACCCGTACTCGAACTCGATAATCTAAGTACTCAGCAGTACTCGGTACTCCGAAAAAAGTACTCGACTACAATTGTTTGTGGAATATAACGTCAGCATTGCCATTGTAGGAGGCGAAGATCATATAGCGTTGTGCACAGTAGGTAGTAGGCTAGCCTTCAAAGCTGTGATGAATGGCAAACACTGTGAGAAAAATGCAGAGCCAACACCCATTGCTAGGTCAGCATGATTATGACAACCGAACACGGAAAATACACCCTGTCTAGCGCACAACGCTGATGCATGCCTACTGCAATGGTGACCAATCACAGGGAAGACAGATGGTCATGTGGTACTTTGACACTACAGATCAGCCCCTATTTCGTCGACCTTTGCTGAGCCAAAACAGCCAGTTTTCTAATTTTTGCTTCTTTTGTTACTTTATAATTACGGTTGATATGCTAAAATGTAATTTTAATGGTAATTTTGATCATATTTCAACTTGTTTATGTAATGAACTAGTATTTAATTTAGTATTTATCGATTTATGTATTGCATGTAACCAGACAAATTTCCTTGAAAGGACTGATGAATGAAATTGAATTGAATTGAATTGAATGGAAAATGTGCATGGCACTGTATCTGGGTGCCCTAATAAATCAAAATAATAAGGTCAGGGAACAAAGAACTCAGGAATCAAGGAACCGACTGTGGCATGCTGTACCAAGTTGATTTGATCATTCCCATTATCCGAAACTTACATTGTGAATTCTGGACCATGTCAACCAATGTTAAGATAGATCAACAGTCAGTTTCAGTTCCCATTTTGCAGATTGTGCTTTTGTGATATTTGGTGTTTATATTTGAAATGTGTTGACGATCGATGCCCTATAGCTAATGTTGGAAGTGCCTACCAATTGCAACAAAAGGACAATGTAGCGTGGCTAAGCCTTGCCATGATTGTTCTGATAATTGAAAAATCCATCAAACTGTTGGTTAGTCCGTAACATATTTCTGTTTTGGTTCAGTTCATTGAAAACCACCATGTACACATGAAGGCTTCCTTTCAAAACGTACATCAGCACGCATCTGAAATTCTCAAGTCAAACACAGAGTAGAAAGAGGTCCAGTACTTTGTGAACACAAATGTTCTGAAAAGATGACTGAATAAAGGGAATGAATATTGGCAATTCCACACCAACGGGCCCAAAAGTGTGACATTTGAGAAGACCTTTTGAGTTTTGATAATAAAACTAGGATCTTGGTCTCTCAATTTTTGCTGTAAACATTGCAAGCTTTGAACAAATATCCTCACCTGCAAAGGATATAACTGGTTTTGTATTTTAGAAAATATGGTGGATATTGTTTTTAAAAGTGTTACGTACGTAACGAAGGACAGACATTTTAGATAAAGTCACAAAGTAAGCATAACATTTAATGATCCCCTAATGTTGTCTGATTTAAGAAGATGCCTACCCTGGAGGAATGCCATCAGTCAAAACCTAGAAAACTCGGAGTCAATGTGAAGAATTATTTGTTTTTTTATAATCAGGATTTATGCGTACAGACTGGACATTTGTCACAAAATGTCTGTCCCTGTTCGTACGTAACCCTAATCACATTATAACTTTGAAGCCGGTGCAAGAACTGTTATATTTTAGCTTGATAGGTTTTAAAAAAAGTGCAATTAAAACCTGCTAGGGGCCTGGTCACGGATTCGGCTCTGGTCAGTTATTCATGTCCAGGCCGCGATTTTTTTTCTCCCAAACGACATCCACATATATGGGTGTACGCTATGACGTTTTGGACTTAACTTTTATAAAAACATGAGAAGAAAATATAAAATTAGAAAAAAAAGTGAATTTAAACGTTACAAAATTCGGACTTTATTTCCCTTTAAAAAAAATCCTCCAAAGCCTCAGATGAGAAAAGGAAAAAAAATTGGGTGCAAAACCGAGATTCGAACCCACAACCTCGCGGTGCAAAATCCCACCCTTTATCGACTGAGCTGTTGCACTGCTCGCCAAAACGTGGGGAAACAAATAATTATATACCTGCATGCTATCATAAAAGTATCGTAGAGGGCGCTAAACAACCATGTATGCGGATGTCGTTCGGGAGAAAAAAAATCGCGTCCAGGCCCTTGCCGGTTTTAAATGCACTTGTTTATTAACCTGCCAAGAACATATTCCCATTCATAAATAAGTTTTCGGTCAAAAAGTCAAAATAAGTCAAGAATTGACCAAATTCCAACGATTTGTTCAACAAATTTTACTTCATGTTTCGTGAAGACACCCCTTCTGGCCATGTCTGTGGTGTTTACCTTGCGCGCGTAGTTTTACAAATCTCCTTATATATGGAGATTGATGCACGCAAGGCGCATACCCTGCATTGTGGCACAGAATGCAGCAGTGCCTGAAAAAAAGTGTTTTTTTTTCCCCAATGATGGTCAGCCAACCATCGTTGGAAATTGATACAAAATTTCCACTTTTCTTGAAAATGACAGCATATTGGGTGCCGTGATTTCACAGGATGCTTGAGACTATTATTCACTTCCAGTCAAGTAAGGTATTTCAGAATAATTTGACAGTTTTGTTTTTTGACGTTTGCAAATGTTGTTCATTACCTTTAAATGCACAGCCCTTAAATTAAATATAAAAGCTGAAACTTTATGTTGGGAATTGTTTTTAATTTTTTTCTAAAGATCTATGGATTTGTGCTGAACTACTCCACCATCGTCACCGCCATTCTGGCCATCGCGGTTGCCTTTGGAACCAAAATCATCGTTGGGAACTTGAGCGGTGAAGGACTACCAATCATCAGTACGGTAGCACCTCATCAGGTAGTGTAACTCCAAGCACTTGATCAGTGACTGAATTCCATGGTTCATTTCAACTAACAACTAACACTTACTACACCACATGCGGGGGAGTGTGGTCTAGTGGTTTGGGTTTGTGACTCATGATCAGAGGGTCAGGGGTTCGATTCCAGCCGCCGGCCATATGTTGTGTCCTCGGGCAAGCCACTTCACCCCCACTTGCCTCTCTCCACCCAGGAGTATAAATGGGTACCGGCATTAGCTGGGGAGTAACCTGCGATGGACTAGCATCCCATCCAGGGGGAATAGAGATATTCTCAGTTGTTTCATGGCAAGGAAGCCGGAGATAAATGCTGGCCTGATCGGCTGTATTGGCTCATGACAGACTTGACTTTTACGCAACATGTGGCCCAAGAAGTTTCTGGAGGTATGGGGTGTTTCTGCAGATATGGGGTTGTGACTATGGGGTTGTGACTATGGGGTTGTGACTATGGGGTTGTGATCATGCAATGTTTGTTTATTTTTAAAGAGATTGTTACAATTGCCATGTAATGTCTATGCAACTAGTTTTTATATATATATATATATATATATTAAAGTTCTGTTGGCCAACTCCTACACACAGACCCATGTGGATGGTGTATACGTATATAGCCACTTACCAAATAAATACTGTTATTTGAAGGAAAAAAATGATTCTTTAGGCCAAAAAAGAAAGTCTCCCGTTTCTGGTATGCGCGCGCGTCGCCATAGCCATGCGCGTCGGCAAAACGAAAAAGTTTTTTTTCAATGAAAGATGATCATGACTCAGAACCGCCAAACTCACTGGTTTGACTGGAATCCTGCTGCTGCACAATTTTAACGTGTTTTTAGATTGGGTTATGGTCGAGAATAAGCTTTATGTGGCCTCTCTGGACTCCCATATATTTGCACTAAGTTTAGTCGGGAACCATTTGCAGTCATCAGCCAACATTTGAAGCCAAAAAAAAAGGTAAAAAAAAAAAAAGCCGCGTCGCCGCACCACTTTTTGGGCAAGCTCCATACCAGAAACCGGAGACTTTTTTTTGGGGGGGGACTTATGCCTTGTCAGTAAATGCAACTTTTTGAAACAAATGATCTAAAAGAATAATTAATACCTTTATTTTTCTCAGTTTATTTTTTTGATATCATTTATTTGATTTAATAGAACATATATCAGTATTAGCAAGTTTAAGTGAAATTTAAAATGCACTTTTATTTAGCATCAATGTTTCTCCATGCTTCCATGCCTGAAAGCCCATCACGTGTGCATTTTGTCACGTCGCCAAAAGGGGGTGCATTGTGCAAAATAACAAATGAGCTTTGGCTGTCCCAGTCACAATGAAAGTAACTGAGTTCATGGGCGTAGCCAGGATTTTTCTGGGGGGGGGGGGGAACCATCTGTCGATGGGGGTGCTGTTCAAAACCGATGATTAGGCCCCCCCCCAAAAAAGTCTCCGGTTTCTGGTATGCGCGCGCGTCGCCATAGCCATGCGCGTCGGCAAAACGAAAAAGTTTTTTTTCAATGAAAGATGATCATGACTCAGAACCGCCAAACTCACTGGTTTGACTGGAATCCTGCTGCTGCACAATTTTAACGTGTTTTTAGATTGGGTTATGGTCGAGAATAAGCTTTATGTGGCCTCTCTGGACTCCCATATATTTGCACTAAGTTTAGTCGGGAACCATTTGCAGTCATCAGCCAACATTTGAAGCCAAAAAAAAAGGTAAAAAAAAAAAAACCCGCGTCGCCGCACCACTTTTTGGGCAAGCTCCATACCAGAAACCGGAGACTTTTTTGGGGGGGACTTATGCCTTGTCAGTAAATGCAACTTTTTGAAACAAATGATCTAAAAGAATAATTAATACCTTTATTTTTCTCAGTTTATTTTTTTGATATCATTTATTTGATTTAATAGAACATATATCAGTATTAGCAAGTTTAAGTGAAATTTAAAATGCACTTTTATTTAGCATCAGTGTTTTTCCATGCTTCCATGCCTGAAAGCCCATCACGTGTGCATTTTGTCACGTCGCCAAAAGGGGGTGCATTGTGCAAAATAACAAATGAGCTTTGGCTGTCCCAGTCACAATGAAAGTAACTGAGTTCATGGCCGTAGCCAGGATTTTTCTGGGGGGGGGGGAACCATTTGTCGATGGGGGTGCTGTTCAAAACCGATGATTATGCGCACTAAGGGACAATATATGGTGCTATAACCCTAACAGTCCTGAATCCTCCAATTTCAATATAATTTTGCACACCCCCTAGGGAGTTAGGGTAGGGTGATACATGCGTAAAATTTTTTTAAAAAGGCACCCAGAACGGCCGATGGTCGATCAACTTGAAGTGTAATAACTCTGTGGAGGAAATAAGTGTATTAAAAAAAAAAATTTTTTTAACAGAGTAACATTGATAGGACATCATATTCTGGGATCTTATGATCCTGGCCTTCTATATGGAACCACAATAAAAGAAGTCTACATTTCCACGTAATCATTGAGCCACACCAATTTCATTTGATACATTCAGAATAATCCTTTTATGTAGAGAAAAGTGCATATGTTGCCATTTTGTAAAGAAAAACATATATTATTCAAATTTTTATAACATATAAATATGTCGTGTATTATTTTGGTATCAGTTTTTTTTTTCTTACAATATTTTAGAAAAATATAAAGTGTATTGTAAATAGCTGTAATATTTATACACGTAACTAGATGCAATGTTTGTGCTAGCTGGATTTTGAATGGCAGCGTTATTTGGGTAATTTTATGGCAATCGGTTTTTGTTGTATGGAGGAAAGGCTTCGATGAACACAAAAGAGATTAGTGCACTTCGATGGATTGGTATAATGGGAATTGGCAACGCAACACAGTGACTGATTCCATTGATAATGTAAAGGGATTTTAAGTTTAAGGGAAAGTACGACATTTGCTTTTGCTGACGGTAATTTTCAGAAATGGATGGATTTGGAGTTTAGTATTTTATAGCAGATAAACATTAAATTGACTCGTTTGAAGTTTCGTGTTCGTAGATGCTGGAAAAACAAAGAAAAACAATCGTGTTCATGAAGTCTGGTGCCCTGACCCCAATTAAGATGAAACAGAGCAATTTATAGATGTCGGGGAATTGTAAGGTCAGGGAACCAGTCTAGCTGGCTTTTACCCATTTTATAGACCTGTAATTGATTGCAAACAAAGTGCGGACTAACTAAATATGGTAAATTGGGGGCAGTATTAGAAAAAAAAGGCCAGCTTTGGAAATTGATACAAAAATACCGCTTTTCTTGAAAATGTTAGCACACCAGGTGCCATGATTTTAGGGGATGCTTTAGACTGTCATTCACTAACAGTCCAGTAAGGTATTTCACAATAATGTGGTAATTTCGTTATTTGATGTTTGCAAATGTTGTTTATTGTAGGGATCGACTTCCTGTGTTTAACAAATGTATTTGTGTCCGGTGGGGGGGGGGGGGGGGGGGGGGGGGGGGGGGGGGACAGGAGTAGAAGTCTAAGTAAATAGATTCATTAAACTGCCTTCCATTGGTAGGGTTTTCAGTTCCTTGATTTCGTTTAGGGAAAATCGTTAACGGAAAGACAGCTACTTGATGATGATAATCATAATGTGGTTCGCATTAAGTGCACATCTATCACCACTTACGCAAGACTTATGTCCTACATATACAGGGTGGTCAGAATGATCTGGACCCAGATTCAAGAAAATATTGAACAATATGTAGCAATTATCAAAACAAGTACAAACAAGATATGTTATAGACTGGTGTTTAGTGAACATTTTTTTGGTGAAGGTTTCATGTATAGGCCTATATCAATTCAACCAATTTGAAGAAAAGCGCCAGCAAAGAACACACGCTAAAAAAAACACTCTGGCCACGGTTTCATTGTTCAACAAATTTATTGAATTCGCGTTCTGATGCGAAGCAGTATTGAAGTTATTGACACATTTAAAAAAAAGAAGAAGACAATTTCGTGTGGAGACTGGAAAATGATCCACTTCAATGAAAATGGCATAGCTCCTCACCACAGCCACTAATTTGAAAATTTCAAAATTCTTGTGGAAGACAAGGTAATAACCATTCATAGGAAATACTCAAGTTTTTGTTTTCAAGTGAACTTGGGTCCAGATCATTTTGACATACCCAGTACAGGGGCTGTGCCGAAAAGGCTATGTGGAATATCCAAATATCCGATCATCCACCGAATATCCGCAAAGCAGTTTTACCAAATAAAATATTTGAAACATGTGAGCCGTCTCGAGAAGATGGCCAAAAAAAAAGTCTGAATGATTTTCTTATAGTTTACAGTCCAAGGCAAGGGCTCTACCCCTTACCACCTCCCTTGATCGCCACTGACCCGTAAAGCATTTCTATTTACCCCAGTAAATAGTCCAAACATCCGTCCGCTGAGCTCATTATTACAGGTTATACACTCGAATTATTATATAATAGAAAGTTTGAGCCATGGAATTGGGGGATTGAAGACATTATGGCACTGCACCTCTGGTCTGGACTTGGGGCTTCCAATTCTGAGCATTTCGGATGCAATCGGGTCCGAAAGTGGCGCTATTTAGCCATGTTGTGGAGGGATCATAGACATATGTCTATGGGTGCACACCGGTAAATAGGCCAAAATCCACCCGCTGAGCTCATGATATGAATAAAAGTTATACCCTCAAAATAGTCTATATTAGAGAGTTCTGAGCGCCGTAAAATTGGGGAATTGAAGAGATATGGTAACGAACCTCTGGCCCGGACTTGGGGCTTCCAATTCTGATCATTTTGGATGCTATTGGGCTCGAAAGTGGCGCTATTTTGCCATGTTGTGGAGGGATCGTTTTTCAAGATGGCTACATTTCCGCTTGGGGGAAAATAGGGGTCGTCTTCTTTGGGTGAGAATGTCTCGAAAAGTCAATGGTCAACCCACCCAAAAATGAAAAGAAAACGAAAGATGATATGTTGATCATCATTTTTCTGTGCAGCTTGAATACCTGTGAGAGTTCCGAGTATTTTTAAAAGAATTTTGAAGTATGGGCATTTAGCACTAGTGTCTATGGGAATTTATTTGCAGGGTTGCATCCCTATGGAGGGATCCTTTTTCAAAATGGCTACTTTTCCAGTTGGGGAAACATCGTTCGTTTTAGGGTCGTCTTCTTTAGGTGAAAATTTCTTGAAAAGGTCATCAGTCAACCCACCACAAATTTGAAAAGAAAATGAAAGATGACATGTTGATCATCATTTTTCTGTGCAGCCTGAACAGCTGTGAGAGTTCTGAGTATGTTTAAAAGAATTTTGAAGTATGGGGATTTATGTCCATGGGAATTTGTACACTGGGGTGCAGCCTTCAGCTAGCTGCCGAGGTTAATTTTTCTTTATGCAACATATGCCGACCAGGGCAATACCCTGAATAAAAGTACTTGATGAGCACGCTCTCAAATTTGGTCAGAAATTAAGGGACGCTTGTTGCACATTTTCATATTGAACAACTCTGGTGTTCCCATGAAAAACAAAATGACAAGTCCAAAGCATATGTACCCGGATCCTGTTTGCCAAACTGAATGATTTTCCTTCCTTTCACAACTTTGGTTTTGGGGGGAAAAAGACCAAGTTAAGCCAAGCATGTCAAACTTGGCTTTTGCAGCGCTGTGTGGATAGGAGGAAAGATAAACACTGCATTTGGGTCACGGGTAATATGCGTGTGATA